ACTTCTGTCTGCTGGGCCATTTCCTCATCTAAATGGAACAAAACATTCACAGATTAATTCATCCTGTGGCACTGAGCCACCAAAAAGAGAGGAGTAGAGAGGAATAGAGTTAACCAGAAACTGATTGAAGAAAGAAATGTTACTGAATTTCTTCCTTTTACTTTATTCCTGAAATATTAAGACCCACTTTTAGAGCAAAATCATCTTCCAGCAGTGCAGGAGAGAGTAGCCTTGACTATCTTATTTAATTTTTTTTTTAATAATGTGAATTCCTTCCAAGTTAATTTGCAGTTATGACATCAGAGGGAAACTGCATCACAAAAAAAAAAATCAATAAATCAATTTAGGCGATAAACTGTTCCTTTGAGAGGGGCTCCCAGATACCCTTCTGCAGGGGAGAGGCTCTGGGCTCTGTCAGAGCACACGTCGGTCTCTGCACTGCAGTTGTGACATTGCGCTTGGCAGAGCTGAGTGAAATGTGAACACACATCTCTTTGAAGACCAGATCCACTGGGCACAGTGTCAAATCTCTTGATTTGGGAACGTTTTCATGGGATTAGCTGGAAGAGGGGAGATGTGGGTATAAATCAGGGAATTTGGATGTTGGGAGGTTCAGAAGGGAACAGGACTGATTCTCATTTATTTTATACTTGTCTCTTACTCTGGTATTGCAATGCCTTACCACCAGAGTCATTTTAAACTCTTTAAAATCTTTTTTACCTGAGAACTGGAAGAGTTTAGATGATGCACAGATCTGGAAGCTTTCAATATTTTTAATATTTTCGTTTGTATTTGATCTGCTGTGTTTCACTGCTCTTTGGTCCCAGCAGTATTTTATCAGTGAGATTTGTCCTTTTCCATCTGTGACGTGAGGAATGAGGTCACCTGGGGACTGTGCTCGAGGTACCAACACCCAGCAGCATCTTGCTGTGCACCCAGAGCTGTGTGTGACTCATGTGTGGGTGGGTGAGGGACACTTGTGTAGAGATCAGATCCAGCTTCTCTTCTTAAGTGCATGGAGTGACAGGACAAAGGGGAATGGCTTCAGAATCACTTGAGAGTAGGTTTAGATTGGATATTGGGAAGATGTTGTTTCCTGTGAGGGTGGGCAGGCCCTGGCACAGCTGGGGCTGCCCCTGGATCCCTGGCAGTGCCCAAGGCCAGGCTGGACAGGGCTTGGAGCAGTTTGGGACAGTGGAAAGTGTCCCTGCCATGGCAGAGTGGCACTGGATGGACTTTAAGGTCCCTTCCAACCCAAACCATTCCATAATTCCACATAACCTCATGTGCAGCCTTCTCTTACCTTCCTTAGAGCTGCTGTAGGTGTGCACTGGTTCGTGCTGTGTTGGAATGATTAGAGACTCATTTTAATGTCTTTTTTACATATATAACTATTTATCTATATACACACTGTATATGTGCACATTTCTACACACAAACACCTCTGTGCCCATCTAGGCAGACTCCTGACCATGACAGGAGTTGATACAGGCACAGAGAGCAGATTAAAGCTGCAGGAGCTGAGCTGGCAGAGCTATTAATTTTTCACCAAAAAAAAAACAAACAACAACCTTACATTAAAAATAGAAAAATCTCTGATGATAAACTCTGCAGTGGTGAAATTCAAAGCATATCATTTCACTGAGCTCCTTGATGTAGAAATCATTACTGCCACTCTGCTGTATTAAAGGAAAAAAAAAAAAAAGCCTGTGCTGTTGCAGTCTGGTTTAGTTTCCAATTAATGTTGACAGAACAAGTATTTATCAAGCAGCTGAAAGCCAAGGTCTGGGAAGCATTGCAGAGGTAATGCATTACTCATGAATACTGTACCTTATTCTGGAGTAGTTCGTACATGCCTTGTTCATAACACCAGAGTCATGTCTGCAATGAAATTTAGGTGAATACCCTTCCAGCTGCCGCTGAAGAGCAGTTTGGGAGCTGGCTGCACTGGTGTGTCCCTGGTGAAGTTTCTGGATTTTCAGTTCTTGCTTAGGATTAATCCAGTTACAGATCCAACAGAGCATTCCTAAACATCCTCAAAGAGCTTTTTACCAGCAAGCAAAGCCCTGGTGTTGTTTGCTCTGCTGTGATGTGGAACACAGAGGCAGAGGGGTGGCTGGAGAGTCTTTGGGCACGGCCTCTCACAGTCTGGAGCAGAAGGATCTCCCCTGAAAGGGAAGGAGCTGAATGGTGGAATCATAAAACCTTGGAATGGTTTGTGTTGGAAATGACCTTAAAGGCCATCCAGTCCAACCCTGTGCCATGGGCAGGGACACTTTCCACTGTCTCAGGTTGCTCCAGACCCAGTCCAGCCTGGCCTTGGACATTTCCAGCCACAGCTGCTCTGGGATACTGTGCCAGGGCCTCACCACACTGACACATGTTTTCCTGATGTCTGATCTATACCTGCTCTCTTGTCAGTGTGAAGCTGTTCCCCCTTGATCTGTCACTCCAGACCCTTGTCCAAAGTCTCTCTCCCGCTCCCTGGTCAGTGAATTACAAGTTCTTGGTCACCACCAACCTTTGGGTGGTGCTGAACACCTGGGCCCCTCTCAAAACCACCGCAGCATTGTGAATCTGATGGGTTAATGGGATGGACTGAGGGTATTACAGCAGTTACAGGCTTTCATCTTCTGGCAGAACGGGGCCAGGTTCAATCCAGCAATTGCTGTTCCACTTGACTTCCAGCAGTATCTGGCTCCACTCAGTTGTGTTTCCTTGTCACTTGTTTCCTTTTGATCTGCATCTCCTTCCTTCCCATGGACATTCCCAGAGGTTACCCACTGTAATGAGCATTTGTCTGTCTCGTCTAATAGGAGACCTGACATTCTCCACCTTTTCCAAAGAGGGGAAAAGCCAGAGGAAGGCAAGGCAACAAGCTGGGGTTAGCTCGAGGTGCTATCAGCACTTTCAGGGCCCTTCTGCTCCAGCTTTTTCTGTTTGTGCCTTGTGTTGGTGCTGTGTGGAGAGCTCTCACAGCACAGATGCCTGGGAGCAGAGGCTCTCCCTTGCACCAGGACACGCTGATGGGTTTTCAGCACTCGGCTGAGGCACCAGAGCTGTGTTGTGATGGGCAGAGCCACCATCTGGAGAGGCTTTTCCTCCAGTCAGGGGAAGGGATGGAGCTGTGGGATCCCAGCACGGGCCCTGTGCCAGGCCAAGGTGTGGAGAGCAGCTTGACAGACAAGAAAAGGGAGTTTTCTTCCATTTCTTTTTATGACCTCAGAGTGAAAGTACTGTAAGTCAATAAAAACATCTCAGCAAACAGTTATTTGAGTTGATGGTGCCTCTATAAACAGAGCTGCATTTTGGAGTGAAGCACAGCAGAATTCCCCACCAGTGCAACAGTTTTATTACCTGTAAATGGGATGTGGTGCTCTCTCACCTGTCCAAACCTGGGGATCAAGTCTTGCCTGATAAGAAAAATTATTATTATTTGTTTTTCCAGCAGGCACATTCTTGTCCTCCCAGCACCATGAGGGCTGACAGAGCATCCCTGGGCTCTGCTCACACAAATCCATGTGTTACCAATCCAAAAGGAGATTCATTGGCAGGGCTCAGGGGACACCTTGCCAAAAACCTGGCCAGGGCATTAGAAGTCATTCACTTCTTTTTCTGAGTTTATTTTGAGCTGGTAAATCCCCACTGCTGTGAAAGCTTCTATCTTGTGTAATATTTACTAGATGTTTGGCCATCCAGGGTATTTCTTTGCTTTGCCAGACAGGGATGAGCTAATAACATTTCCTGTCCTTAAAAGCCCTTTTAAAGCCACAGTTGATATCATATTTTATTTTCCTTGGCTGGAAGGGGTTAGATTGCTTTTAGTGCAGTCCCATTTTTATGTACTTCCAGAAATGAAGTGGCTTAAAAGGACTCCCTTGGGATCAGCCAGAGGCTTAAGGAAGAATATAATTTTGTTGGTAAAACCAAAAAAAACATCACACAGAGCACTGAGGTCCCAGGGTGGAGCCTCTCTGGCTCCTGCTCTGCTTGCTGCATGTCCTGCTGTGGCATCCACACATGCAGGAGCAGGTATTTGCTGATCTCACCTAGAAATGGTATTAAAATTTCACATTTCTGCATCATGTGTTTTTTGTGTGTCTGTGGAGAATCATCTTCTCGCATCTTTGAGAGGATTCAGCCATGCTGAACTTGCAGCATTACAAGATGGAAATCTGTAAATGTTTAAAGGTTTAAAAATGTCCATAAAATCGTATTTAAAACAACAGAATTTATTGTCTGATTGATTTATTTTTTTTCCTTTAACAGGACTTGGTGTGTAGTTCAGTTAATTTGCTGTGGTTGTCAGTCTGGTAGGGCATTGCCAGAAGCATCTTTATTACTGGAAAAGCTGGAGAACATTTTTAGAAGGAGTTTTACAAAGCAATAAAGTTGTTTAATTCCATGGGACTGTCCACAGGGTAGTGAGTGCAGGTGTCATTTAAAGGACATTTTATTCAAAGCGTGAATATTTAAAATATAGCATTTTCTAGTGGCTTCAGGTCGGTTCCAAGCTTTGCAAATGTGGTTTGCCTCTGTTGAAATGACAATAAAAGCAGCACTTGAGCTTTCATTGCATTGTACCTCTGGTGTTTCTAAATTTACATTTACTCCCCAGTAGAAAATATATATAGAAAATATATATAAAAATATATATATAGAAAATAATATATATAGAAAATATATATAGAAAATATATATAAAAATATATATAGAAAATATATATAGAAAATATATATAAAAAAAAATATATAGAAAATATATATAGAAAATATATTGGGGTTTGGTTTTGTTTGCTGTTTGCCAATGTCTGAGGGGTTTTGAGCTGTCAATGATCACCAATAATAAAGGATGCAATTAGTTGTTGGTTTACAAATGAGAATTCAGCCAGCTCTGTTTCCCAAAGCTGGATGTGGTTGAAGGATTGGCATTTTTTGTCTTCAGAAGTTGTTTTGTTGGTGTAATGAGAAATATTGACACGCTTTTCCTTCTGATTTCAGGAGTGGCCACACACTGCTTGCCTTCTGGTTTTCTCGACAAGAAGGAAAATTAAACAGACAGCAGACTATTGAACTGGGACACCACATCCTCAAAGCACATATTTTTAAGGTAACAAAAATTCAGATGAAGGTTTACACCAACCTCATCCACAGCACCAGCAGCGCTCAGTCTCATTGTGGGGTTGGTGTAAGAAATGTGATTGCTTGAGGCTGCTGAAGCATGTAGAAGTGAGTTTAGAAAATTGGCGTGGTACCTAAGAAATGCTTAAAATTAAACCCTCCTTCAGATGGTAAATTCAGCAGGTAGCCTCCTTACCTAAAATTGCTCTCTACCAGAAGATGCTTCCTGCCCTGAAAGATGAATTCTTGTAGCAGCATCTAGAAAAAAAAAAGAAAATCTTTAAAAAAGAGTGGTTTTGAAGAGTCTAATGAAAATTTAGGTTGTAACGGGAAAATTTGATAGTTGTTGAAATTGGCTGATTGGTCCATCCTTCTCTTCACACTGACATTTAAGACCTGGGTAATTGAAAAGCAAAACTTGGATGTGAATACCAATATGACCCATAAATTAAATATCATTCTTCCTGCTGGCCCAGGCACCAGAAGGTGGGAATGAGAGGGTGGATTTGTAAGGTCACAGGAAATGCAGATTTTCTTAAAAGTGTTAGGACCTGTGGGTGCTTAAAACTAGTAAAAACAAGGCTGTATTTTTATCTGATCTCTGTATGGTTTAGATGTTGTATGAAACTGGGATTTGTTTTTGTGAAGGATTCACTCTGCCCCACTGTTCTGAAGGGGGAATTAGAAAAGGAAGATATGAGCTAAAAAATGAGAAGTAGGGCAGGCTTTTGCCTGAATGGTAACTGAATGATAATGGTGTTGAATGTACTTTTTCTTTAAGGGGTAAATGTCACCTTTTATGTCTTGCATTAATATCTAAGTGTATATATATATTCTAATGCAACAGTTAAGATTTCTATAGCATATTATCTTTAGAGGGCTATTCTCAAAATATCTACCCTTTTCCTTTTCCTGATGGTGATTCAGGCAACTTATTTATAGGCTTGATAGTAGTATAACTATTTTTAAATGATTTTAACTGTTTGTTATAAAAATGCTTTCCCTTTCCTATTTCACCGTCCTGAGTTAATGAAATTTAATATTGACCTCTAATGTCTTGTGTCATTTCAAAAGCAGCATTTCACAGTGGCTGAAATTCCTGAGCTCTTTTTCCCTCAACACAAGCAGCAGGTATCTTTTGTGGTTTAGCTCCCTGAATTTTAAGGAAACAAGTACACGGAGCTGTTATTTATAAGAGCTTGTCTAATCTATTGCTTCTTTTGGTGATAAAACCGTTTCAGATGACAAATCTGTTGATGGCTTGGGTGATGCTGCAGATTATCTTTCACACAGAGGAATCAGAGGTTGCAGTTGAGTCCAGCAAGGGGTTGGGATGATGATTCCTTGAGAGGAAACAAACCCCACCTTGTGCTGAGGTTTTGTGGCACCATCCCAATCCCAGGCACACAAACCAGAGCTGGGGCCCTGCTGCTTTGCAGGGGTGGGAGTGCCAGAGAGAGCAGAAAAAGCAGGGTTTGCATTTGCAGACAGAATTGAGTGTGCAGTGCAAGATGCCCGTGCAGTTTCCATGGAATCAGCAGGCTTTGGTGGGGAATCAGCAGCACTCAGGGCATGCTGACAGCCACCATCCCACCCCTCTGCTCCTCCATCCAGCTGTTCACTCACATCTGTCGGCTCTGCAGAAATTGTGGCTCCTTCCACAGCGGGGAGGAACCTGCTTGAATGTGTTCTGCCAATTAGGGGTGCTGGAAAATATGTCAGACCTTCAATACATTGTGTATAACCTGATCATGGACACCAGGTAGAAAAGTTGGAGACAATCTGGTACAAGGTACCTGGCTGTGGTTGAAAGTTCCTGAATTTATCTCACTGTGAGCAGATACTGTGTACTTTATTTAAGAATTTAAAAAGCAGCAATCTGTGTTCCTAACATGGCATTTTGTGAGGGTGTTGAATGGGTCTGGTTGCTCACATTTAAATCCTGCCTTTCCTTGACCTTGGAGATGGCTACATTACCTTTACAAGTAATTTTCTACAAGCTTATTAATTGACTGTGAAGGTCAGATATGGCAAATTTTCACATTATCTTGGATGTAGTCATAATTGTCCTGAAACTTCTGTGAAGTCCAGAGACCCGGGAGGATCTGCCCAGTGTGACTGAGCACTTTTGTAAATGTGGATCTAAGTTCCTTCCTCTTTTTCAGGGTCTGAGTAAAAAAGTTGGGGTATCTTCCTCCATCCTGCAAGGGCTTTGGATCTCCTACAGTACTGAAGGTCTTTCAATGGCGTTGGCATCTCTGAGAAATCTCTACACCCCAAACATAAAGGTACTGGAGGAAAAGTTGGAGGGCTGGGGGGTTCAGAATTCACAAAAGAAGCTCCAGCAACGGGCAGTGACCATGCAGAGTATTCACAGGAGCCATGTCCAGTGTCCTGGCCAGGCTGAGCAGCTTGCTGGGTGTTTGTCCTGAGCTGAGGAGAGGCCTTCAGTCAGCTGAGAATTTTTTACCATGTGAGGTCGTCTGTCAACTCCTCTTCTTTGACAAAAGATTTCCTTTTCATTGCAATGAGCAAATAGTGAGTTTGTGCCTGTGCAAAATGGGATTTTTTTCCTTCCCAAAGATGTGGAATGTGCTAACTGATGTTGGAATTTGTAAAGGGTTCTGGCTTAGGTAGGCATGAACTCTGAGGTGACACCGAATCCAACAGCACATGTGGATGTGCTGGTTCAGGCACTTCTTTTGCAGTGGTAAAAGATGAATGTGTTGAGTGAGGTGAGCCCATCTCTACTCAGACAGAGAAACAGGTTTGGAATTGTTTTCTCACATGGGAGGATGTTTATCCCAGGTCCCTCCCAGCCAGGCCAGGTGAGTTCAGTGTCTGTCCCATGTCCCTCCCTTGTCACTCTGGACCATCAGGTGCAGGCGTTTCCTCTGGTGCTGAGGGCACAGGGAGCCGTGCAATGGGACAGAGGAATCCCATGGGAAGGGTGCTCAGCACAGCTCTCTCCAGCTGTGGGCTTTGATTCCTCATCCCCTCCATGTCCCCAGATGCTGCAGCAGGGCTGGAGTGGCTTTGTTCCAAAACAAAGGGTGGCAGCACCCTCACACCACTTCCCAGCCACTTGGGAAATGATTAAACTGCTCCATCTGCACCAAATGGGACCATCTATTGGGCAGATGGTTTTACTGAGCATTTTATGTCCTTTTGTTTGTTTGGATGTGTCAAGGCCCTGTGTCACCGTGTTCACAGTGGTTCTTGGATGAGGGAAGAGACAAGGATCTGACTTTATGTTTCATAAGGCTGATTTATTGTTTTATGATATATATTACATTAAAACTATACTGAAAGAATAGAAGAAAAGGTTTCATCAGAAGGCTAGCTAAGAATAGAAAGGAACGATAACAAAAGCTTCTGTCTCGGACATAGAGTCCAAGCCAGCTGACTGTGATTGGCCATTAATTAGAAACAACCAACATGAGACCAATCCCAGATCCACCTGTTCCATTCCACAGCAGCAGATAATCAATGTTTATGTTTTGTTCCTGAGGCCTGTCAGCTTCTCAGGAGGAAAAATCCTAAGGAAAGGATTTTCCATCCAAGTTGTCTGCGACAGCCCTGGTTTCTGCTGTGGTATCACTCCTGTAAAGCTCAGCCTGAGGCTCTCTTTCCTTGCGCAGGTCAGTCGGCTGCTGATTTTAGGAGGCGCAAATGTGAATTACCGCACGGAAGTTCTGAACAACGCCCCCGTGCTGTGTGTCCAGTCCCACCTGGGCTACGCAGAGATGGTGGCCTTGCTCCTGGAGTTTGGGGCCAACGTCGATGCAGCTTCCGAGAGCGGCCTGACCCCGCTGGGCTACGCGGCCGCCGCCGGCTTCCTGAGCATCGTGGTGCTGCTGTGCAAGAAACGCGCCAAGGTAACGGAGCCACGGTGCTCAAGAGCTCATCTGAGCTGCTCCACACGTGCTCAAGGCTTGGTAGGAGCTGCAGGCAGGACATGGAGCTCTTTGCTAGGCAGCATCCTCCAGCAGAGGAAGCCAGGAGGCTGCTTTTAGTTTTGTTCTTTTTTCTGCTG